CCCTCCCTACCCCCCATTCCTCGGCGCTGGGAGCTATTTTTGTCCAAGGTGGGAGGGATGGGGGGGCTAGCGCCACCGAACCTGCACATCTCAACCTGTAACTCAATAAACAGAAGTGACAATCGGAGTCTCCGGACCTGTGCTGGGTGACCACAGGGCAGGGTGTTCACCGCCCGGAGCCTCAGTTTTCCCATCTGCAGACTGGGCTCAGGCTGATGCCTCGAGCTCAGGATCGACTTCGACAATGTCTGGGATCCACGTTAGCTTCCTGAATTTCCTCTCACACCTCAGAAGGCTGGGCCTCCTTGGACAGTATTCCCCAGGGCAGGAGGCAACTTAACAAGAGGTGAGCCCGGCCGGACGTGGTGGCGCGGTGGCTGACGCCTGTAATCCCAGCACTTTAGGAGGCCGAGGCGGGGGGATCACGAGGTCAGGAGCTCGAGACCTTCCTGGCTAACACGGTGAAACCCCGTCTCTACTAAAAATACAGAAGATTAGCCGGGCGTGGTGGCGGGCACCTGTAGTCCCAACTACTCGGGAGGTTGAGGCAGGAGAATGGCGTGAACCCAAGAGGCAGAGCTTGCAGTGAGCCGAGATCGCACCACTGCACTCCAGCCTGGGCAACAGAGCGAGACTCCATCAAAAAATAAAAAATACAAAGACGAGCCAGGAATGGTGGCGCGCGCCTGTAGTCCCAGTTACTCCGGGATCCTGAGGCCGGAGAATCGCTTGAACCTAGGAGGTGGAGGTTGCAGGAGCTGATATCGTGCCATTGCACTCCAGCCTGGGCAACAAGGCGAGACTCCGTCTCAAAAAAAAACGAGATGAGCCCTTCCCTGGCCGGAAGAGATCCAACCGAGGTTTAGGTAAAGATCGGGGTAGGTGCTGCATGGAGTTAGAGTTGCCATAATTGAGTGCCCACTGTATTCCGGGCTGTGTTTTGAATGCCTGCCACCCACTGGTTCATTGAATTCGACTCATCCAACCCCACCCAGCAAGTTAGGATCTTTTACTATCCCCATGTTATATCTTTCAGCTTGGTTTAGGGTCACCTTTGTCAAGAAGATTTTTCTTTTGAAACCACCAAATCTGTGTTTTAGTTTTTTGGTGTGGTTTTTTGGTTTTTTTGCTTTTTGTTATTGTTGTTGTTTGTTTGTTTGTTTTTTGAGACGGAGTCTTACTCTGTCGCGCAGGCTGGAGTACAGTGGCGCCATGTCGGCTCCCTGCAACCTCCGCCCCCCACCCCCTTCAAGCGATTTTCCTGCCTCAGCCACCGGACTAGCTGGGATTACAAACGCTTGCCACTGCTCCCAGCTACTTTTTGTATTTTTAGTAGAGACGGGGTTTCACCATCTTGGCGAGGCTGGTCTTGAACTCCTGACCTCGTGATCCACCCGCCCCGGCCTTCCAAAGTGCTGGGATTACAGGCGTGAGCCCCTGCACCTCGCCTACATGTTATTCTGATCCATGTATATCTAGGCCTATCTGTGGTTCCTGTGTATTACAGGAGGAGGGAGGAAATCTTTCCTTCCGTTCTATCTTTTCCCCACTGGTTTGGGAGCTCCATCTTTAGTCTAGACCAGGGGGGCAATTGTGTCCATTGGCAACTTCTGGTGACATTTTTAATCGCCATGTTTGGGGGTGCATGGGTGTTGCTGGCTTCTAGTGGATGGAGGCCAGGGACGCTGTTCATCACCCTGCAATGCACAGGACAGACTCCACAGCAAAGAATAAGCCAACCCCAAATGTCATTAGGGCCAAGATTGGAAAACCCTGTGTTAGACAAATCCCATCTCTTCTGGGGGCTCTAGATTCTTTACCAATGTTCTGTTTGTGTATTCTGGGGCGATGGCACAGTGTCATAACTCCTGTGGCTTTATTATTAGATTTGGCACCTGAGAGGCATCCCCGTTTCACACTTTTTTTTTTTTTTTTTTTTTTTTTTTGAGACAGAGTCTTGCTCTGTTGCCCAAGCTTGAGTGCAGTGGCACAATCTTGGTTCACTGAAGCCTCAGTCTCCTGGGTTCAAGCGATTCTCTTGCCTCAGCCTCCTGAGTAGCTGAGATTACAGACGCCCGCCACCACGCCCGGCTAATCTTTGTATTTTTAGTAGAGACAGGGTTTCACCGTGTTGGCCAGGCTGATCTTGAACTCCTGACCTCAGGTGATCCACCCGCCTCGGCCTCCCAAAGTGATAGGAATACAGGCGTGAGCCACGGTGCCTGGCCCCTGTTTTACACTTGAGGAAAGTGAAGCTCAGAGAACGGTTTCTTCGGCTCAATTACAAGTGGTCGAGCCCAAACCCACTCCAGAAACTGGACTCCTAATCACAATACCAGCCATTCCCCCAGGAGCAGTCAGGGGCTCAGCAGTGGCGAGGCGACAGAAACTCAGCCCAGGTCACAGCCCGCCCCCTGCGGGACCTGGTTGGCTAAACTGCCGTGATGACCGGCAGGTCCTGAAGCCAATGAGGCGGCGGATCGCTCCAAGTCCCTAAATCCACTGGGCCCTTTGCAGAAGCGACTTCCAGAAGCTTAAATGCCCTGGACCCGCCCGCCCGCCTGCCCGAAACCAGACCGCTGATGTCTCACCAGGATGGCGACTTGGTATTTACTGAAGATCTTTGCACATGAATGGTCTGAAGTCTCGTAGCATCGCTGGAAGTCGGGTTATTACAGTAGCAGTAGTGGTGGTGGTGGTGGTGGTAGTGGTAGTAGTAGTACTAGTAGAAGTATTTGAGACGGAGAAGTATTTGAGACGGAGTCTCACTCTTTCACCAGGCTGGGGTGCAGTGGCGCGATCTCGGTTTATTGCAACCTTCGCTTCCCAGGTTCAAGTGATTCTCCTGCCTCAGCCTCCCGAGTAACTGGAATCACAGGCGCTCACCACCACACCCAGCTCATGTTTTGTATTTAGTAGAGACAGGGTTTCACCATGTTGATCAGGCTGCTCTTGAACTCCTGACCTCAGGTGATCCACCTGCTTCAGCCTCCCAAAGTGCTGGGATTACAGGCATGAGCCACCACGCCCTGCAGGGTTATTATTAATAATCCCCCCCCTCTTTTTTTTGAGACACAGTTTTGCTCGTTGTCCAGGCTGGAGTGCAATGGCCCGATCTCAGCTCACCACAACCACCGCCTCCCGGGTTCAAGCGATTCTCCTGCCTCAGCCTCCCAAGTAGCTGGGATTACAGGCATATGCCACCACGCCTGGTTAATTTTTGTATTTTTAGTAAAGACGGGGTTTCTTCATGTTGGTCAGGCTGGCCTCGAACTCCTGACCTCAGGTGATCTGCCTGCCTCAGCCTCCCAAAGTGCTGGGATTACAGGCATGAGCCACCGAGCCCGGCCAATAATCCCATTTTATAGTGGAATAAACAGGTTCCCAGAAGCAACAAGGGAGGCTGGGGTTGCACAGTGATCCTGAAGAGGGTCCTGGCCCTGTTCACGCCTCATCACACAGGCAGCCTCTTGAGGGCCCCCACACCTCCCCATCCTCCAAAAAGTTTTCGCCTCGGCTGCACTGCTAGACACTTTGGGCTCTGAGCCGCACACTTTGCTCACATGACCTTATTTTTAAATTTTTATAGTTTTTTTAAGAGGCAGGATCTTGATATCACCCAGGCTGGAGTACAGTGCTGTGATCGTAGCTCCTTGCAGCCTCCAACTCCCAGGCTCAAGCAATCTTCCCACCTCAGGCTCCCAAGCAACTGGGACCACAGGCCCACCCACCACATCCGCCTAATGTTTTTACTTTTTGTAGAGATAGAGTCTTGCTATGTTGCCCAGGCTGGTCTCAAACTCCTGGGCTCATGCTATCCTCCCGCGTCAGCCTCCCGAAGTGCCGGGATTACAGGCGTGACGCCCAACCCTGACATGACCACATTTCGTCCTTACAATGATCCCCTGGAGTAGGACCTCTTTACTGCCCCCACTGTACAACCGAGGAAACCCAGGCTCAGAGAGGTAAAATACTGGTCCGAGGTCTCACGGCTGGGTAGCAGTGACCTTGTAGCTGGGATGGTTGGCACGTGCCTGTAACCAGCCTACTAGGTTGGCTGAGGGGCAGTGAGGACACTTGAACCTGGGCATGCGGAAGGTTGCAGTGAGCCTGAGATTGGCCACTTTCACTCCAACCTGGGCACAGAGCAGGAGAGGTCCGTCTCAAAGAAGGCAAAACAAAAAAACAAATGCGCGTCAAATCAGGATGTTACCCTTTAGATCCTATTATGGTCTTAAAAAGGGGGAGGCAGGATATCCACCCCTTGTTTAGCGTATT